TCTGGAGTTGGAACTTAAAAAAAAATTTCTAAAATTTTATTTTTGAATTACCACACATTAATAATATGAGGAAATTTCATTGTGATAATTCCATACATGCATACAGTATACCTTGAACAAGTTCACCCACTTTCTCTTTCCATTCCCCCTTTCCCTTTAGGATGGATCTTTTAAAGAATTTTTGCCATGTAAGGGAGAGGGCCCTGACTGCAGTAATGGCTGTGGGTATGTGTGTGTGTGTGTGTGAGAGAGAGATAGAGAGAGATAGAGAGAAGATTGAGATTGAAGATACAGGCAGAAAGGGCATTGCTGATGGAGTGAGGTCCCTCAGGAGGTCAGGAGGGCTGACAGCCAGAGCTCTGTGTCATGAGACTTGTCTCCAGAGAAATTATTCTACAGCCTGCACAAAATAATGATTTGTAATGGAGTTTGGACTCTTCTTACTTTTTCTCATAAGTATAAAATTTTCTAAATAATATATAGAAGTCCCAAAAGGTTGCTTTTTAAAAAAAATGTTGAACCACATCAAAGGAAATTGGTAAATTGGAGACATGGTCAGAAGTAAGTGGAACAAAGCCTGTGAAGGTTAATTACAGGGCTGTCATCATACAGGGAGGAAAAACACCCAGCAAGGACCGGCTGAAATCTATTGCGGAGGGACTGGATACAAGTCAGCAAATAAAAGAGTGGTTTAAAAAGTCAGCAGCATTCTAGACAGCATAACATTTTAAATACATCTTTGATATTGAAACATCTAACATGATGCTGTGCACATTGCAAACAATTGCTGACTTGATTGAATTTGATTTGTTGCTACTCATTTGCCCTCCCCAGGTCAGACTCTGCTATCCACTTATTTGTTTGTTTGTTCATTATTTGTGGGTTGTTATGTCTGCAGGGTTCCAGACTGAGATAGAGGCACCCGGAAAGGGACCTTGGTGGGGTGCAGAGCTTTGCATGTCAGTGATTGGGGGATGGGGGGGAAGGGATTTTGAGGACACCACAGGACTCTCTGGAGAATAGGAACCCTGAGTAAAACCACTCTGAGGTTTTACTTGGCTAAGTGGTGGGTGGCAGCCTCCCTCCCTAGCTGCCTGCCTGGAGCAACCAGGAGCCCCATCACCATGCTGAGGAGCTTCCAGCTGGCTGTCCGTCCCCCTTGTAGAAGGTAGAGGTGAGAGGTGGGAGCCAGCCCTGCATCTGCACTTTCTACAAAGTATGTCTACTGGCTTGGACTCACAGGACGGACTGGCCCCCAGGGCATATTCTTAAGTACAGATAGCAGATAGTGTGATGGTTTATGCTGATATGTTCACATTCTCTTGCTTGATTCCTCAGGCCATGGTTCATCTTGGCAACAGGTTGGTCAGGGTGAGACTGGAATAGACCATGGTGGTAGGAGGGAGGTTTTTCTTTTTGCCTTAAGTGACACTAAGCAACTTGCATATGAATCAGATTTTGTATTTAGGCCTTATTGAAAAGCTAATAGTAATCAACTGAAACTGATCTAATCTACTGAATAAAACTTGTCATGTGAAGACTAAAAAACCACAAAGTAATCTTCCATTACCTTGAGTAACTTACTAGCAAAATACAGCATCCATTATTAATGAGAGCCATGAAAAATGTTTATGGAGAGGGCTCAAAGATGAGCGAACTGAGAAAGTAAGACCTGTGAGTCACTGGACTGGGGAAAGAAGAGCACAAGGTTGATTTTAATAAGCAATTTTAAGTGCTTACGAAGAAATGTGACCATCCCACATGGTACAAGAAAAGGCAGAAAATCACACTGATTTTTATCCTTATACTTTTTCCTCTTTTCTGCCATTTATTTCTTTTGTATTCTTCCTCAATATTTAATTGTGAAAAATATCAATCATACAGAAAGATTGAAAAGCAGTGTGATGTACACATGTGTACTTGTCACTTAGCATCAACAGGTGTTGACAGTTTTCCATACTATCTCTGTATCTATACCGAATCATTTGAAAATTTGAAAATAAGTTATAAACATCACAGTTTTTACTTCTAAATACTTCATTAGATATTTCTTTTAAAAGTAAGGATATTCTATATACTCTTGGGATTGTATGAACAACGTGGAAACCCTCTTCTGCTTAAACAAGATTTCTTGCAGCTATTTAGATTGGAAGCAAGCTGTTGCATTTATCTATTACCATATGACAAACCATTCAAAATTCACAAAAATTATTTTAGTTCTAGGGGTCAGAATTTGTGAGATCAGAAATTTAGGCTAGTTGGGGTGATTCTTTTACATGTGGTAGTAACTGGGACCATTCAGTATTTAGCTTGTGGTATGGATGGCCTGGGATTCAACAAGACTTCATTCATAGATCTGGATCCATGAATTGCGGTGACAGTAGGAGGACTGGGTCCAGCTGGGTTCCTCTCCTTCCTCTTCTAGTCTCAAGGCCTCCTCTTTTTGTGGTCCCTCCAGCAAGGTAGTTGGGCTTCTTACATGGCAACTCAGGCTCTAAGATCAGGGGTTCCAAGCAACAGTGAATAGAACTGCCTGAGCCCAGAACTTGGCACAGTGTACTTGTGCCATATTCTATTAGTCACAGCTGTTACAGGGTCCTCCTAAATTCAAGAATAATAATTTTTGGTTGTCTGTAATCTGTCATGAAAGCATTTGAATGCCACATGCTTGAAAAGACTACACATCAAAGAGGCATAATATAGACCTTAAGGTGCCAGGTAGTTTTGCTAGAAGAGCTGGTTACTTTTGGATCCACAGTTGGAGGAGTTTCTAAAACCTTCTCACTTCATTACTTGGGTGAAGGTGGACCTGAAATCTTCCCTTCTAGTTCTGTAAATTGCTTCCAATATATGTTCATCTCTGCTGTCCCTGATATGAGTCAAGATATACAACATGTATACACACTCCCTACATGAGACAGGCATGGACAGGTTTCTCTCCATTTGCTGGACAGATGCAAACTCTGTCTCTAAATCTCTTCCAAAACTCAGCAAAAAGGGAATTGTTATGTACCATTCCTACATGCAGTCTCTAGTAAATTGTGTTTGTGTGTGTGTGTGTGTGTGTGTGTGTGAGAGAGAGAGAAGAGAGAGAGAGAGAGAGAGAGAAGACAGAGAGAGAGAGAGAGAGAAATGAAGTAGAAAGAAGAGGAGGACTCTTTGGGTAAACAGCATTATACCTTATAGTTTTCAACAAAGTTCAATAAAGTTAATTTCTTTGTTGTTACCAGAGATAACTCAGATGCTGGTTGCTCTACTGCTTCTTCTACTTGTGGGTTTCAGTGACATGGAGGGTAGTAAGTAGCAGCTGAAGTTAATTATATCTTAGATTAATTATATGTGTTAATTATAGCTAATTATGTTACATTATACTACACTTCAAAACTTAAGAGGCCGGTCTTATTTCCTAATAGGGCTTGTATGCGCAACATTTCTAGTAAGTCTTTGTGTTTTGATGTGAATAATTAGGAAGCTTATAAAGAAGCAGCATCCAACCACTTCCCTTTCGAAAGTCAAAAGAAGGTCATTATCCAGAAAAGCTGAGGCAGCTGATGCATTTATACTTTTGTTTCAGACTGTGCAACACAAGATATACGAGATCCCTGACTACATGCAGTCCTGAATTAGGGACAAGGTGTCCTCAAACTCCACTTCATTGTCTTATTTACAAGTGTACCTAAATATTATTGTTTCCCACATGACATTGTGGTTTTCCTGAAGTCAGGAAAATGATAGAAACTGTTATTCTAACTTAAACCTGCTTCAGGAAATTGCATGGTAGTTTGTTTGATACTCAAGAACCCTTAAACTCCACTACACAAATGGTACATTTCTGCTTTGTATTAAAACACTAATGGCTTCACTTTCCAATGAAGCTGGATATTCTGGCTCAGAAGACAGCCAGTAGATCAGAGATAGATTGCCTTGCCGGCCCTGGGGCCATCCAGGGCTGAGTAACCCTGATGAGAAAGGGAAAAAAGGTTGCTTCTTGGGTTCAAATATGACAGAATGGGATGGAGAGCATGGGAGACTGGCAGAATGTGCTGTTCAGTTTTTCTTCTACTTTGGAGGGAAGTGCAGTGTAGACAAAAATAATTATAATACAAGCGTGTCATCTGCTTGTAACCAGCCCACATCCAGGAGATTTTGTTGGTGGGTACTGTCCTGCCGGTCAATCCTTAAGGACCTTGTCAGGGATGTTAGAAGGTGGTGTATGTCTATCCATACTCCAGAGGCGTTTGAATCATTTTGGGCTTTGATAACATTTGAGGGGAGCTTGGAGTGTTTTGTCGATGTTGGGGCAGTGCCTGGCATTGTGAAAGTCCTAAGAAGTAAGTAATGATAGTCAGCACCTCACTGGCCAGTGGAAGGAAGATCGCCGCCATCCTCTCAGAAAAGAGCAAACTTAAGCAAGGACGTAATTCCCCCCCTGGATCTTGCAGTTTCTAGTTATTTACCCTGGCTTAGTGAATGGCCACCAGCCGGCAGCCACAAAGCTTCGTAATATTTGCACACAATTTATTGGGGGTAGGTTTTTAATTTCTCTCTCCATTTGTAGCTGGAAGACTACAAAGCGAAAGCTCCGGATCCAAAGGAAGGGAGGATTTTCCAGTGAATTCTGAGAAGAAATTCAGGTCTGGCAGAGAGAGGGAAGTTTAGCACCCTTCGCTTAAGGGAGAAAGAAATGATCCCAGGTGGCAGGCCAGGTGGTACCGAGGTGGGAGGGCCGCGCGAGACCGAGGAAGGAGAGAGAGCAGCATGGCCACTGGACGACGAGCATTCGCTAAGTCTCCAGTCCCTGAGCTCCATGCGCAAAAGCTAGGAGCGTTATCTCCGCAGGAACGCCCGGGAACCCGGACCCCCAGGCTGCAGGTCCCGCGCGCGTGGGCGGCCGTGCGTGCGCCTGTCCCTTTAAGGGGCGGGTCTCCGGGCACCGCCGGCCCCGACGCCGGGACGTGCCGGGGGCCGCTCCGCCCCGAAGCCTCCCGTTTCCTGCGGGGCGGTGCGACGGCACCTGAGCAGCGGCGGTGGCGGCGGCGGCGGCGGCGCTTCGGAGCGGGCGACCGGGGCTGTGGTGCCGGCGCCGCCGCGTCTTCCCGGTGTCCTTCCCGGCCGCGCAGGGTGAGGGCGAGCAGGCTGCGCTAGGCCAGGCGCCGACCGCGGGGACGTGGGGGAGGGGGGACGGCGTCGGCCGCGGGGTCGCGGGGCGGAAGGGGGGGAGGGCCGCGTCGGGCGGCGGGGAGGGGGGGCGCGGCCGCGGGGCTCCGCACCCCGTCAGCCCTCTCGGTGTCCCCGGCCAGGCCTCCCCGGCGGGCGTGCCGCTTGGGCTTCACCGGGTCGCCCAGGCCTGACCCCGGTTCTGCCTTGTGCCGGGGAGCACGGCCGGGGACTCCTCCCGGGGACGTCTTCTGAGGGTGAGGCCAAGGGCCAGGGCGGCCCGGGAGGGCCACGGGGTGACGAGGCGCCTATTTTTAGCAGGCCCCGAGGGCCCCCGGGAGGGAAGGCGGATTACCGCTGTCCGCTCGCGGGACGGAGGGAGCGCGTCTCCGGCGGCGCCCTGGGCCCACACTGGGCCACGCTTACGCCATGCTGGAATCTCAGTCCTTTGCCGCTCACCGCCGAGACCCGGGGCGGCCCCCGGCGCGCGCCCCCGCCCTCCCGCCGTCCCGCGCGCACCCCGGCTAGGGTGGGGGCAGTTGGGGAGCGGGGAGCTGCGGGATGGGAGGGCGGGGGGCGGGAGAGTTGGAAGCAATCGCTGGGCCGCGAAGTTCTCCCTTCCTCTCCCCGAGGGGTGTGTCTTCCTCAGCGGCGCGCCCTCCCCCCTTCATTTTCCAACAATGACATGCGGGGCGCACAACCTTAAGCGGCAGTACAGAGCGGTCGTGCGGCTCCCATGTGTCCCGCACCTGGACGGAGAGGTGCAGCCTCCCCCGCCCATGGGTGGAGGAGCGGCGTCCTGATCTCGGCTGGCTGCTCCTTGATGAGGTTCAGAGGGTCTGCTGAATGCTAGCTGTTCCTCCTGGGAGGAAAGAGGAAACATTGCTAACTGTACAGGGCCAACATCAGACTCAGATTTCGTCTCGCTTTTTCTAAATAAGCCCTGTTTAAACAGCTACAGTTGAAGTTCAAAGCTGTGGGGCTTTTTGAGGTGCTCTGGGAAGAGCCTTGAGAAATTTAGCTCAAGATAAAAACCTGGGCTGGTGGTGGTGGTGGTGGTGATGAAGAACTGACACTCGGATTGTGTAGCCTTCGTCTTACGTTTGTATTTTGTCTAAATTAGGCCGCCCTTGGTCTCCCGACCTGGACCACAAGGCACATGGCAACCGCGTCTTCAGCTTGGCCTACAGCACTTGCTCCAGGAACTGACCTGGAGTACTCTGTGCCTTGCAGTAGACTTTAATATTTGGTGTGTTGCCTGATGCAAAAGACTTAAAAAATTCCCACTTTTTTTCAGGGACCTAACACCAAATAGCTGGACCCATTGTTTGTAAGGTTCCAAGAAAATGCTCATTTCCCTTCCCTCCCACTCCAGACTTGAGTTAGAAATGTCTCTTCTAGTTTTGTAGCCCTCAGCAGACAGCGTCTCAATATCAGGTGCTTAGAGAATAAGGTGTTCTACTTAAATACTGAAACAAAATATAACAAGACTTCTGGAAAAATTTTCTGAAGTGTACTAAACACCTCAAAATAATAAAGGATACCCAGTGTTTAACCTTTCCTGATGATCTGGAGTCAGCATTATGAAGAGCCATTAGCTTGAGTTTTATTTGCATTGAGGTATCTCTGTGTCCTTTAGTGTCACTAGTCTCTTCTGCTTGATGGAGTGTTTCCCTAAAAAATCCTCTCACCTCAAGCCTGTTTATAGGCCTACTAGCTTGTAGGCTTATCTGCTTCTGTTGGGGAGAGCATTTCAAGAATTACATGTTAAATATCAGTTAATAGGACTTTTCTGGGGGTGGGGAGAGGTCCCCAAACAATGTGTATACATGTGAGTAAATGTAAAAACGATTATATATATAAAAAAAAAACAAAACTCCTCTAAAGGGCCTAGAAAGTGAAGGCTTAACTTTTGAAGGATCTATGTTAAGATTGTGATTGTAAGTTTCATTTGAAAGATACAGATGACACCACCAGCACCCTCCCACCCCCTTCTAAGGATTGAACCAAGGGCCTCTAAGGTGCTAGGCAAGTTCTGCATCCCCATCCCCAGCCCTGGATTATGTATTTGTATTTTCATTTGTATGCTTACTATAATTTTCTAGAGCAAAGGAAGTTTTAATTCAAGAGATTTCCAAATACTTCATAAAATTGCTAATAAACTCAATGGTGTGAGTAAAGTTTGGCTTAGGAATCTAACCTAATGTGTGATAAGGAAGTGTGCTTTAGAAGAACATTTGAATATTTGAGGATGACATCTTAGGAGTTGTTTGTTTTGTCTACTGTTTATGGTTTTAGTTATTTGAAGGTAAATCCAGAGTGTAGAAGTTAGACTCAATCACTGTTTCTCTAAAAATCACATTCATCACTTGTGAACAAATGGAGTTGCATTTCATTGTTTTCCCCTATCAGTTTTTATGGATATGACTTGTAAATTTGTTCTGAACTAAAAAATGTAATTTATGTGTAAACACTGGTGTAAAAATTGGTTTGAATAAGAATAACATTAGCTTAAATGAGGATATAAATTTTTTTCTAGAAATACAAAAGTGAACAGTAAGGTTAAATCCTTAAGTGCTATGAACAAAGGAGTTTGATTAACTATCTGAGGTCTAGGAGAAGAAAAGTAATGACAATTTATAGTAGTTCTGTGTATCAGGCAGCTCAATTGGTGCTTACATGTATTTTTGGTCTTTGAGAGAGGTGGCAGAATAAACTTGTGTGTGTAGGTTCTTTTTCCTTTTTAAAAAATGTATAGGCTTTTTAACTGCTTTTACGTAAAAAAGAATAGGCCAGGTACACTTTTAATACTAAGAGTAGTTTTAGGAAATATAATATTCCTAGGAAATGCGTAAGAAATGCTCAACTCTTTTTTTTTTTTTTTAATTACGCTTTAGTATTGTACATACCATTTTTTGTGTGTGTGACTGAGGATTGAACCCAGGGCCACATACATGCAAGTGCTCTACCACAGAGCTACATCTCTATCCCCATACATGTCTTCTTAACATCTACAGGCTAATTAGGAACTTTTAATCATGAGTTAAATCTGGTTTCATCAGGGTGATTTGTACACTAAATATAGCAACTAAATTGTTCATACTTCTCTCAGGATACTCTGCTTTTTTAAATTCTGTCTTCACTGTTTTGTACATTCTTTTTCTGGGTCCTTGATTCATTTTCTTTTAATATTTCTTTGGCGCTCTCATCCAGTGTCATGGTTTAAAATACCTATTTGCTGATGATTTCCATAGTTACAACTCTAGCTCTACTTCACTCTTGCACTCCATACAATTTGTTAGGCCTATCTACTTCCATATGCAATAGTGAACTCAAACTCAACTTCCATGTTCCTCCTTAACCTGCCTCAGGGGCAGCTAAACTAATCTGATGGCAACTCCATGTAATGTTCAGGCAAAAAAAAATTTTTGGAGTTAATCCTCTTGCTCAAACTTGGCATTTGTGCTCTTTCTTATCTTAATAATATATTCAGAACCCAATTACTTCTTACCACCTCCACTCCTCACCAGCCTCATCTAAACCATTCTTATCTTTTGCCTAGATTTCTGCAGTTACCTTCCTAATTGGTCTTCCTGCTTCTGTGCTAGCTCCCTACACTCTTCAATGCAGCAGCCAGTTCATATCACTTCTCAAAGCCTTCCTGTGACTTCCAACATACAGAACAAAAACTAGTCCTTATATAACCCTGTTCAGCCTTACTGAATCTGGGCATTCCTCTCCCCATCTCCCTTTACCTCTCAAGTTAGCTTACTCCTCTCCTTTTCTACTAGTCTGCTTTGCTGATTCCCCTCCTTGAGTCATTTTTTTCCCTGAGATATTTGCATGGCTTGCTTCCTTGTCTCCTTTGCTTTTCTAATGTCACTTTTCCAAGAGTCTGCCAGTTTCACTTAAAACTGCACTCCCCTTCTTTTTCCTGTACTCTGCTCTATTTTTCCATGGGACTTGTCACACATTCTGTCATACTGTATAATTTCATTGTTGATTGTGCTCATTGTCTTTTTCCCCTGCCCTCCAAAAACATACTATAAAATAACCTTTATGAGGGCAGGGCTTTTTGTTTGTTTATTGATAGATTCTAAGAGTTTAGGGCATTGTGTAGCATATAGCAGTTGCTTGATAAGGATTTGTCAAATGAATTAAATCCTTTTCCTAAAGCTCCTTCCTTTGATATGGATACTGCATTCTTGGTTGAATACAGTTTTCATGCTGCTTTCCTTAGGAACCATCAGAAAGAAGAAGAAAGTGGCAAGGAGCCATTGGGAACCCCTTGGTGGAAGGAGTCATGTTATGAGTGGTGGAGACCCTCTTACCTGCCCTACATAATTAAGACCATTGGTTAATTAATTTAAAAAGTTGGTTAAATCACGGACTCAAAATGTTTGTACACCAAAATGTTTGCACTTAAAGCATTTAATGTTAGTTTTATTTGTGTCTTTTTTTTGGACCAGTTTTCTTAGAATAGGGGTCTTTGGGGTATATAAATTGTACCCTAAAAACGTTATCTATGATTTCTAGTGTTGGTTTCTTTAAAGTGGAATGAAAACATAAGGCACTGGAAAGCACCAAGTACAAAATTCTAGATTTTTCCAATCCTTCATTAGGCCTTCCAAAGGATTTAACTTAGTTTTTATAGAACTTTATTCTCATATTACTTTATAGTAACAAGCAGGTAGGAGGGTGCATTGTTAGCCAGAGGCACTTAGCTTTCAGTAGACACCAGCTCATGTACTTTTACAATAGGGGAAAATGTCAGTTAATTCAATGAGAGGTCAAGCCAGTTTCTACTTTGAATAAGCTTCATAGGAGCCATAGGATCTTAGCAGCCTACTGTTATTAAGGAGAATGTCATTTCCTCACAGTTATTATTTTGGTTCTGAGTAAATTTATAATTAGGTAGATGAACTTGTGTGATTTCAGGAAGTACATTCTCTTTCAGGAGATGT